ATTTACGAACGTAGTGGCTCTAAATTCGGTATCGCACTTCCTTTGCTTTTCATTTACCTTCAATGACAATTAAAATGTAATTACGTAAAAAATTCTTAATTTTTAAATACATTGCTTTACTCCATAAATTTTGTAAGCTGTCCTTTTCTTATCCGCTTTGTTCTTACTTGCAATCTAATTGCTGTAGCTAATGACCTTCGACTTGTCCCGCATAATTTTAAGTGCCAATATGCAAATCACGCCTAATTGTAGGCTACACAAATTGTGATTGCCCAATTTAATGACTTTTAAACGCAGCGCACACAATACGAACAAATGAAAAAAAATTATGATTAATAAATAGACATCCTCCATAGCTAGGAGCAGACAGAAAAAAGTTACACTATACATACACAGATTTCAATATGTACTCGTTAATTTTCGGCGAGCTTGACAGGAAATGTATTACGAACAGTCGCACACTTCACAACTAGCTCTAGCATACTTTTGTTTTAAACGAGAAATTTTTTAAGACTTGTGCTGTTTCAAAAACAATGAATTTCATAACCCAAATATGGAATCGATTCATCACAGATGTAGGCCAGTTTGTTTCATTTTTCCTACAGGCTACTTGATTGTGCTTGCACTGAGAACGACAGTTGCTGCTAAAGTTTTGTTTTCCACCATTCCCCATTTAAAACTTTCAGCGCAAGTATCCTTAATAATTTTTTCTTTTTATTAACTCGTCGCGGTTTATTTACAAAAAAAAAAAAAATAAAATAAAAAATTTGATTTGGCACACAAAAATCGCATAAATATGCCGGACATTTTTATGCAGAACAAAATATGTTTGTATATTTGAGTACCGCCATTGCACATAATTTCATAAAAGTTTTACGCCCACAAGCACTTAAGACATTCGCACAAAGAAAACTCCCAGCCATAAGCTGACAGCAGGAGCAGCGACAGCCAACTCAGGTCTCTTTTTTTTCAACTTTTTATTTCTTTATTTCATTTCATATTTTCGTTTTTTCATTGCACGCCATACTGCCTCGCTTTTGTGCATAGGTCTTTCTTTGTAAATAAAAATTTTTTCGTTTAATCCACGCCATCGCTTGCGCACCCACCCAAATGTCAGCCACTCAAACGGTAAAGCGTCCTATATTTATTGCAGCCAAGAACCGCCAACAACATCGCCCGCTGGCGAAATGAAATGATCGTTACGTTATATGTAGCCCGAAAAGCGTCCAACTGTGAGAAATGGTAATTACGTGTCACACTTATGCCGATGTTTCGTTTTTCTCTCGCCAAAGCACTGTTTTTTTTATTTGTTGGTCTGTAAAACGCGTTCCAGCCGTTGGCAATGTCGCGGCCAGCATAATATTGTCAAGCTTTTTCGCGTTGATATCCTTTGTGCTTGGCTTTTTGCTTTTTCCACAACTTTCTTACGCTCCTTTTGTGCACCGTTACTTTTTTTTCTTCATTTCATTTATTTAATTTTTATGCTAGTTTAAGCTTTTGTCGCAAGTCCGAAAAGTTTATTGGTAAAAAAAAAAAAAAAAACGTTCCATTGCTTAAAGCACTTTTGAGGTTCATTATGGCTAGCTGTAGCTTTGGGAAATGCTAGTTATTTTTTGTTTTTGTTTGTGAGGTATTTTGATACACTTACTCGTGGTAGTAGTTTAATGTACCAGCGTTTAACGAATCAAATTGTTTAATGATTTAATTTTCAAAAGATCGTAGGCAAAGAAAGGCATGACAATGGCAACCCCATTTACTGAGGATCTCTTTTGTTCATTCAATAACTAAAAATCAACTTGATATATCTTCTTTTGTCACCTCTGTGTTTTGATTTCCACCTTCCGGATCCTGTACAGATCGGTACACCGGCTATTGCAATAATTTCGGAAAGAGCGCCCCCGTTGGCTAGTATTTCGTCCTCTGCGTTGCCAGCACCGTCAGCGTTCCCTTGAACTCAGTACAGACGTAAGTATCTCACCTGGTTCTTTCATTGTCCTTGATTTCATTGCAAAAAATTATTCTCCGATTGGTTTCCAGACTGGTGGCGGTGGGTGTTACTGCTAGATCCTAGGTGGACAAAGTCCTTCACTAATTAAATGTTAAAACTGCAAGTGGCATGTGTTCCGATTCCACTTACCGTTTAAAAGTGCACTCTTGCCAGCCGATCTCAAGCACTCTTGCCAGCGTTCTAGTTCTAAGTAGCAGTAATGCGGATTTACGAGCCGCGAGGTCGTAGGTTCGAATCCCACGGCCAGTAGAATATTCATTTAATTTTCCTTATTCATTTAATTATAACCAGGGGCCGTAACAGTTACAACTTTTATTAAAAAAAAAATCACTCTTTAACAATTATTTTGACTTTTATTTAATTAATCCTTAAATAACCGTTATTTCTGATTTTTACTTCATAAATCCAAAATAACAATTATTTTTTATATGTATCTGAATAATCTGCAAATAGCAGTTATTTTTGATTTTTGAATTATATGTCTTAGATAACAGTTATCTAACACTTTTATTTATAAAAGTCATAAATAAAAATCAGTCACTGTCCGTAGTAAAACACCTTCTTAACTACGAAAAATGTTAATGACTGTTATACGAATGATTAAAAAAAAAGCCGGTGACTGACTTTCTCTAAGGCATATAATATAAAAATAAAAATTATTATTATTTGGATTTATAATATAAAAATAAAAAATGATTCAATGATTGTTATATTTTTAAATTTTGCATAAAAATTTTAAATAAAAATTTATTTTCAAATTTTAGTCTCGGTGAACAAAGAAATCGATTAGTTGTAGAAAATTTCCTTCACAGTGAATTTTTCCATGACAAATTTCACCAATAACTGTTATGTTCGGTCCCTGATTATAACCCATTTATTTTTTTTTTTAGTTGTTTTTTACTTTTTTAGTAAAACAAACTCTAAAAATTAAATTCAATAATAAAAAAATGTGAAAAAAACGAAAATAAAATAAAGTCAAATTAAATATATAAATCAAATAATATTTAAAAAAAAAATTAAGTTAAAATAAAAACAAAATTATTTTGGCAATCGCTCCAGCCGAGGATCGAACCTGGGACCTGTAGGCTTGTAGTACGCAGCCCTCACCACTCGGCTACCGTGTATGAAGTAGTTAGCTGATTTGTTTGCGTATTTGTTTGCACAAAAAAAGCAAAATTACGTAATTACTTATTCCGAGTTAAATTCCGAATTAATGAGTTGATCTGGATCAACGCTGCCGTCTGTTTAAACTTTTATAGATCATCAGAAGGCCTTTATATGGTCGCAGCGGCCGGTGAAGTCGGCAAATTTCGCTCGTTTAAAGACTCCCCCCCCCCCCCCAACCGTATCCTAAGAGTACCAATTTCGGGGTACCTTCTTAATTGCTTTGTCCTTCTCATGTCGTTGTTGTTTCAAACAGGCGATCATTCATCCCTTCCACGTGCTTTCAGCGCCTACCCAACCTGAGCGAACCGAACGTGTTCCCAACCAACTAGCACAAACTGAAACTATGTATATGAATAGATTTAATTAGAAACCACCAAACATTTTTTTTTTTTTATTAATTTCCATTTAATTTCATACATTCAATTAGGAGCTTATATTACATACTAAATGCTACTCTCCATTGCAACCACCAGCCACAAAATAAAATATTAAATTTAATTTAACAAAGTAAACACTAGACTGCAACAATTTATCGCCATGACTATGAGAATGTAAGCATTTCCTTGCTACTATGCGCTGCAGCCAATTAAATTAGTCAAACCGCAAAATACGAGGGGCATTATCGGGGCGCACCTTATGGAGTTAGTTAGCTGTCAGTGTGTTGTGTGTGTGTGTGTGTGTGTTGTGTCTGTATGTATGTACATAGTATTAAGTGTTTCGACATTTATTACATTCCTGAAGAGGCAGACTATAGATGCGACTAAGTGTAAGAGCGAGCAGACTTGGTGTGGTGCCACACAGATACGACGAAGGAGAGCAGCAGCACTAATGAATTAATTAAATCTACTACGACTGCAATTGACTGCAAAAGCCGCAAACTAAGTGAAGTGAATGTGCGCAGCACATATTTAAGAGTAAATACAAACATATGTTTTTTGATCGTATGTATGTACTTGCTTAAGTCTTCCTATGCTACTGCTGCAAGTTTGGATGAGTATGAATTAAAGTCAACTGGGTGCTAGCAAGCAATAAAATCGACTACGTACACCATAAACCTGTTCCGCTGCGGCTTGAGTACAGAGTAGAGGGGTGACACCGCCGACACACACCCGCATGCTGCCTGCCCGCCAGCCACCACAATTACCACTGCCATTACCACCATTCCACCACTTTGGTGTCACTCTAACCGCAATCACCTACAGCTGCCCTGCCGTTGCTGCCACCCCCGCTGCCATCCCCATCAGCATCGCATAGCAGCTGAGCACAATGTCCTAGCCTGGGGAACGATTTTCAAGTGTGTTACACTCTATTTCGTTTGTCATTTGATGTTTGGGTCATGGCGCAAGCGTGCTGCGGTGGCTACGGAGAAGGGAAAGCCTAAAGGGAGTGCCGCATTAAAAACCGCCTAATTTTATGAGTGTAACCAGCGTGCTGTGACTTCGAAGAGATTCGCTTGTCTATGCGCACAGCTGCACTGCTGACCTAAATTGTGAAAAATAGTGCAAAAGTCTATGGCTGGCAGCAGTGCAATTTTCGGTGAAGAAACTCCTCCTGCGTTACAAGGGTTTATTAAAATTTCAGTTGAACTTACATACATATGTATAGGCAGAAGTAGGTTGCAGCAAAGCTGGCTGTCAGCTGGCGCTTGAAATGCAAATTATGCATAAATTATTGCCGAAAACTCATAAAGTTAGCCTTTAGATTGGTAAACTTGCTGCACGTACTTGCATTCATAGTTTTACGATACAGCCATGTAACTCGCACTTTAGTCTCGATTAGCGAAAGTTTACAACAAAAAATATGTCAAATTTTTAATGTTACAAACATGAGTACCATTGAGCATGATTTTATTTAATTTTGATTTAATTTATTTAATTTGTTTGACCGAACCCTTTTAAAGGCAACGAACTTTCTGTGCTAGTGATGTTAAATGATTACAACTCCAAATAATTTTTCTTATACTAAATATTTCATTTAAAAATATTACTAAGTTTTTCATTTCTTCTTGTATTTTTTTGCAGCAATATCACGCGAGGATGGCGAAGATTCACATCAACACCATCATCATCACCACCACCATCATCATCATCATCGCGGTGGTCAGGGGCATAATCACGGTAATAAAGTTCCATATAATGGCTATAATTCCGAGGAGTATCTGGATCGACTGGAACCAAATGGAAATATACCAGCCGATAAGTCGAATTGCAGATATGGAGGTAAGAGACTGCAAGCTATTTAAATATTTAAATGAGTTTTAGTAATTTCGGGATTGTTCATTTTCTTTATAAATGGCTGGTTGCATCTATCAAGAAAAATCACAAGAAATATTTTTCATTACTTTTGTTGCTTGAAAAAGTACTTTGCTTTGCAGAAATAAATATACGCAATTTTTTTCCTGACCATTTTTTCTGGCAGGCTATAGGTCTGTTTTTGGTTCAGTGTGTTGGTGTAAATATTTGGAATAAATTGTAATTAAAATAGAAGAAATTGTTAAAGGAAATGCTAAAACAAACTGTTGATCTCAGCAATAGGAATTTTTTGGCAATAAGCTTACAGTGTTTTTACTTAGGGGGCTGTACGATGCTACAAATTGATTCAAGAAATTTTGATAGCACGATAATGAATTAATTTGGAGCTGCGATTCTTTCGTTGTGTTTAAATGAAAAGAGGCATTCATAAATTGCGTGGGAAAATCGTTGAAAATGACACAACCATCAACGATGCATATGAAGACTGGCTAATTGCTGAAAACGATTTTTCTGAACAAAATTTTCAAAATATGTATTAGAACTCTATAGGCTGATTTTCATTACGTCAAATTCAATGACATTTGTCGTCAAATAAGTGAAAATACATTGTCAAATGAAACTAAAAATAAATAATATAAAAAAAACTTTTTAATATACAACGCTTTTATAAATGGACTAAAAAGTAGAAAATGATACTTCTCAGTCCCATAGAATTTGTTTTGATAACTTTTGATTTTGAAATTTTAGCAAAAGTCATTATAAACAATCTATGAAATTGAAAATGAAAAACGTGGAGCGCATGCAATACAAAGCATTCGATTTAATTGACAATAGTCAAACTACATAACGTAGACCTAAAATTTCTACAGCGAAAGTAGAACTTTGGAATCGATTTTAAGCGGTCGTTATTCATATACCCACATACATACATACATATATTACTTTTCATATCAATTCAAGTGTATTACATGCGCCCCACGCTTTTCATTTTCAATTTCATAGATT